GGTGTCCCACGCAAGCAAGTACCCTTGCGGGTCACACACACACTCAAACCCTCAAGCACTATAACAGGCACATAGACCAGCAAGCATGCACACACACAAACTTGGAAAACTCAGCAAAAAGCGGGAATCTCAGCAAGGCATTCATTCTAGGGGCAAAACTAAAAAATCAGTTGTGGTCACAATCTGTGTTTGGACAGGTCCTTACACTACCGCCCCCGCAAGAGCAAGGTCCCTTCGAGCAAGTAACTCATTCTGAGTCCCTAACAAACACATCATAAGCAAAAATAGCGAAGAGATTCCATGAATGCTCAGTAGCAATGAGTTTTGCAGAGATTTTTGGAACAACATTGGGAGCTATATGTCGTTCGCATGCTCTAACAACGCGAGGTGCATTGCGCAACACTCCCTTCTTAGAGATCCAGTAGAGGTCATCCAGCGGGTGGTACATGAAATGAACCTGATACTGTCTGTTACGTCCCTGACCAGTATGTTGTACAATTCTGTCTATTTCGTGACCGCCATGGATTGCTCGAGGGATGATATTCTCACGATATTCAAAGGATTTGGCATCGAGATATGAAAATAGTTTAGATGCGTGAAAAGTCGGGCATGTGCGCAGATGAAGCGGCAAGACAATCACATATGAAGGTCAAATTCATCCTTATCAACCACATCCAGAACCTCCCATGGACCATAATAGAGAGGGAGAAGTTTGCGTGACACCCCCTCTTCCTCCGAAAATTAAGACATCTTAACATAGACATAGCCTCCTACTTCAAAAGTCGTTGGTCTACACTTCTTATTTGCATGATGGATCATGACGTGTTGTCGCCTGGTTATTGCTGCAATGGCAACTTTGAGCATGCGGTTGTACTTGGCGCAGAAGCCAGACCTGCCAGGTGTCAGACTAGCCGACTGTTAAGGGAATAAGTAGTAGAGTGGATTACGGATCTTCCAACTGTAATGCAGCTTGTTTGACGTCATGTTGGTGAAAGAATGAATGGAGTCGTTGTACAACCCCTTGACCGAATACAACTCTTCATCCCAGATTCCCTAACCCGGAATGATTAAGGCACGAAGTAGCTATAGCACAGTTTGATTGATCTCCTCAGCCAAACCATTGGCTTCAGGATGTCGACCACATGTCATCTCTAGATTGAGACCAAGGAGTTGGGAAGTGAAGTCCTTCCAATCAACACTTATGAAGCGCGGGTCCCGATCACTGACAAGGGTTTTCTGGGTCCCATATTGCAAAATGTGGTTGTGGTGGAATTCACGGATCAGAAGGTCAGTAGGGGCATGCGGTGGAAATGAAATCAAATTTAAGAACTTGGAAAAACGATCAACAATCACCATCGCTTGCGAATATCCATTCTTACTCAACTTACCCATGTCCGTGAAGTCAATCGAGACGGACTCTCGGGGACCGTCATGAATGGGGAAAGGTTTAAGTAGCCCCATGGGCTTTTGCCTCAATGGTTTGATCCGTTGACAGACTTGATATTCAACCGCAAACTTTTCAGCAAATCCGTTCATACTAGGCCAATCAAACTGTTATAGCAGATTTTCTTGCCCATGGGCTTTTGCCTCGATGGTTTGATCCGTTGACAGACTTGGCATTCAACCACAAACTTTTCAGCAAATCCGTTCATACTAGGCCAATCAAACTGTTATAGCAGATTTTCGTGCGTCTTTGCAAAACCGAAGTGTCCGCTTCGGCCACGAGTCAAATCCAAGAAGTGTGTGCGAAGAGGTTCATGGTTAGGTACACACAATCGGTTATTCTTTCCGTAACGTCGGAAAACCAGACCCTCACACTCGTGGTAATCAGGCTGACTGCTGAGGTTAGCCCAACGCTGCTCAAGGATTGGACCGAGGTCCGGATCCTTGACAATTTTCTCTACAAGTTTCTCCTTCAGTTTCATACGGGGGTCGTAGGAGCTTACAAGGCAAGTCATGTACTCAAGGTGGCGAGACAATGCATCAGCAACTTGGTTGTAACAACCTTTTCTTTGTTTCAATTCAAAATTAAAAATGTCAATCTCACTCAATGAGTGGGTCATCGTAGTGGTTTAAGTAGTTTCTTCCTTGATCCACTTCAAAGTCTCGTGATCTAAGAGGACTTTGAAGTGGCGTCCCAAAAGATAGTGCTTCTTGTGGTCCAATGCCATACACAAGGCATAAAGCTCGCGCATGTATATGGAAGTAACTACCTTTTCGTTGGACATGCGTTTGCTGTAGTATTCAAGTGTACGCACTGCGCCAATCCCATATTGGCTCGTATTCGTAGTGACTACGAATGTGAGCTTGGGACCCGCAATGTGAAGCACATGATGACTCACCAAAGCCCTATTCCAAGCTTGAAAGGCAATCTCACATGCTTCATCCCATGTGTGAGATACTTTCTTGCTTGTTAGTTTTAGACAATGGGCGAGCAATGACATAAAATATGAGCACAATCCTCTTATAGTATGATGCAAGGCCAAGAAAATAACACAATTCACATATATTCCTTAGTTGAGGCCAGTTGCGTATGACCTCAACCTTAGTCCTCTGGCTCAAGGATTGCAACAGACAACCGATATCCGAGATGGATGACGTTGTCCCTCTCAAACTCGGATTTCTCCAAGTTGAGATGAAGCTGCATTTTCTAGAAGATGTTGAACACTTCCTCAAGATGTCTCAAGCTATGAAACACCCGCGCGTCCGCGGGGTCCAGCTCAGATGGCGGCCGTATATACGGCCGCGTCCGCGGCCGACTTGGTCCGCGCCGCGGACCCGAATTCACCATATTTTTCCTGAATTAAATAATGGGTAAAAAAATAAAAAAACAGAGGGTTGTAGGGATTTTTAATCCCTACAACCCCATATTTTGTTTTTTGGAAAAATATAAGTTTTTAAAATTATAAAAAATAAAAAACAGAAAAGGTGGAGAAGAGAAATTCAAAAAAATAAAAAATAACTTCTTTTTTGAGGGAGGGATTTTTGGTTGGCAGTT